CCATATCCTTGCGGAGGATACACGAACTTTACTGTGCACAGAAACTCATTTTGCCCATCTTTACACATATACTGGAATAAATTACATAGATGAAAAGCCCCTTCCTTCAGATGGGGAAAAAGAAGTACTATGATTTTGATCCTATTTTATACCAAGTCACACTTCAAAGCATCTTAAACCTCCAAGATGTCATGCCTGAATTTTGGTACCAAAGTTCCAGGATATTTATGAAAGAAATATGTAGATTTTACAGATGGAACAAAAAGACCTGGACAATCACATTATGGTTTTGTTAGTTACTTTCCTCAGTGCTGGAAGGCAGGAAAGGTTTATTTCAGCTCACAAATTGACATTACAGTCTACCATGGTGGGAAAGGCAGGACAGCAGGACTATGAGGCAGCAGGGGGTGTGGCATCACAGTTGGGAAGCACAGAGTGAAGGATGTCTGTGCTCAGCTCTACTCCTTTTCATTCAGTCCAGGATCTCAGCCCATGGAATGGTGCTGTCCACACTGGGGCTGCGTTATCAAGCCTCAGTTATCCCAGTCTGGAAGCTCCCTTATAGATATGCCCAGAGTTTTACATTTTGGATGATTCTAGATCTTGCCAGGTTGGCAATCAGTATAACCATCAGGTTTAAGACAGGTCCTGGGTGGCATGAGCTATGCAGTCTCTCTGAACTTAAATATTTTCCTCTGTAAAGGATACAGTTTTGCACCTAATGATTCTACTAAGAAAAATATGCAGTACCCTGCTACTTAATAAATCTTGATTTTTCCCTCATCATAAAGAGACAGATGTATTTGGACTCGGTGAATTCTGAGGTAGAGGAGAATTCTCAGAAATCTTAACTGTCAGGCTTCTCCTCTGTTTCCTCCTCCCCTTCCTCCTCTCAGAAACCCCATTGCTTGTCTTAAATACACAGCCCCCCCCACTCACCAGTACAGAAAGGTGATTTGATTCCAAATCAGAGATTTTTCAATGTGAGTTTGCAAAGGTCATCAGAAACAATTGGAACTGATGTTCTTGCTGTAATGTATCCAGGAGTGGGCATGCAGCTCTTGCAGGGCGGCTGGGTAATCTATTGAAGCCTGACAGTTGGAAATTCCTTGGGGATAGTATTCACTGTGCTCTGCTACTTTGCAAACTAATGAGACACATGATACAGACAGTACTGCCTTCAGCTTGATGGGTAGAGAATTTAGAGGGCATTCATATTTCTGTTCAGAAACTGCCCTATCATAACCATCTTGTAAGAGAAAAACAAACAAACAAAAAATAGCCATGAAGTGTCTGCAAGCCTATAGAATTAAAAGTAAAAATAAATAAATAAATAAATAAGCAAATAAGTGAAAGGGACATTTTTAACCTTCTTTTTAACTACTCTTTACATTGGAGCAGTCTGCATGGCCTCATCCTAGTGGAAACTGGGCTGTGTAACTTGAAAAATCATGGGTTTCACAGCTATTGACCTCATGATGATGTAGGTCTGCAAACAGCAGACCAGAGTTGAATGAAGAATAGCATAATAAACCACCCGACCCAGAATTAAATGATAAAAATATAGTGTCCTAGGTTCTGTCTCACATGATTCTTATATACACTGAAGTTTGAAGAGTCCTGTTTTTGATTATTCTCTGATATTTTTAATAAAGTTTATTTCTAGTGTTTTTAAAAAAGCACTTTAAACAAGATATCAATATGATATATATGCAACATTTAATTAGATAGTCACATATCTTGAGAATGTATCTTAGAGGTTGACCAGATTACACACACACACGCACACACACACACGTTTACTGTCACAGACATCAGCTTTTCCATGCAGCGTGGAAAGGCTGTACAAAGAGGAAACCCAGTTCACACAAGTAGTTCTCCAGTTCTTTTAATGATATGGAGGGATGCAGCGCCACCTGCTGTCCTTCTTCTGCATCACAAGTACCTGGGTGATGGAGTCTATCTGCCTGTTCTCTTTGTGTTTAATACAGACAGACATATAGCTGGGGCCTGGAGTTTCACTTTAGTCTATTAGGGCAGATTATCCCCTCTGGGCAGACTAGACATGCTTAAAATATGGACTTATGTGCAACAATAACCAGGTGTTTTACAACAATACAAAGTAAATGAAAACAAGAGGCCATAGAAAGTTGCAAGATAAATTTCATACCTATATCCAGGTATATATGTGTACACATATATGCAAGGATAAGCTTACATAAACATATCTGCATGTTTTCGGCACATTTCAGTACATACAAACTTCCCCCACCACTGTTCTGCTTGATTTTCTTATTCTCCAGACAGCTTGGCAGGCTCAAGTCCCCATCAAGCTGTTTTCACTGGCCCTGTTCTCACCTTGGAACGCTCTAAAGTGATACTTGGTACAATCTTTCATTTCATTTGTTTATGCCTAGTGCCATTACCAAGAAGCTTTCCTTGACAATGCAATCATCCGTAGTAGTCTATCTTCTAATCCTGCATTCTATGTTCACTGCCTTTTTCCATAAGAAGCACCTAAGCTCCACTAAGTATCAGGTGTTCCCAGCACCTAAAATAACACTAAACTCCTAGTATCACTAAAAATTATTGAGTGAGTTTATGGCCATAATTTAATAATTGTTCCACTTGACAGCAGCATAATGACACCTAGACATTTGGACACCTTATTCTATATTCAGACATGAAAAAAGTAATGTTCATATAGTTGATAAGGAAAATGAAAATGAATTCCTGTTGAATGATTCTAGGGTGTCTAGAATGGAATTGTCATTTATTATTATTATTATTATTATTATTTGGGGGTTGTACAAGCATGTATGTCAAAGCACACATGTGGAGGTCAGATGAGAACTTTGTGGATTCTGTTCTCTCTTTCATTCTTTAAGTGGGTTCCTGGAATTTAACTCAGGCAAGCATCTTTAGTCATTCAAGATATGTGACTATCTAATTAAATCTTGCATATATATCATATTGATATCTTCTGATTTATTTAGTTCAGACCATTTGAATCAGAGACAGTATCACAGAGGAGAGCATGTTAGATATGAGGTTGAAATTTTCCTGAGAAAGGTCTATAAACAAAACACCCTGGGAGGACCAGGGCATGGGCTACTGAAGGAAAAATGTATGATAAGGGTGTAAAAGAGCCATATAATGAATGAATGGAAGAGAAAAGTGAGTTTCCCATGCCTGGAACATATTTGCACAGAAATTCCTATCCACTTATATGCAACTCAGTTCTGGGAAATGTTAACTCAACCTGAAATACCAATGTGTCCCATACACACACGCACACACGTGCACACACACACACAATTACACATATCAATATCCTTAGTACCCTAAATACTAAAGAGCAGTTACTTATAGAGTGCTTTGTGGATTTGTGTCCCCCCACCTTAACATGGATTTCATGGAGTCTCTATGGTCCTGGTTTATTTCTATGAATATAACCTCTAGGAAAGAGTTTGTATCCCTGTGAAATCTTATATTATGGCTACTGATTTTTGGACTTCATAAATTACATTTTAACTAACTTTTCCACATATAAAACTTAGGTTTGAAGCCTGGAAAAGAAGTCTGTAAATGGAATTGTAAGGTGTAATGTTCAAAATACATACTTTTTCTTCAAGTAGGGAAAGCAATGAGCAGTTCTCTTGGAGAATGTGTCTATAATGCTGGGAGGCTTCAAGGGTGAATTTGTTTCATCTCAGAGCAGAAGTGAAGCTGAGGAAGCCCTTCCCTCTCTATACCCCTCTTTCTCTTGTGTCTCAGGTCCCCTGGAGCATGTGCACCTGTCTCTTCCTTTTGTCACAACAAAGAACAAAGAAGTCAATGCAACTGCGGTCCTTTGGCCCAGCCAAGTGGGTACCCTCACTTACGTGTGGTGGTATGGAAACAACACAGAGGTCAGTCCCCCTTACAGATGGTGTCTAGTGATGGAGGCCTAACTCATACAGCAGGAGCAAAACAGAATGAAATGGCTTAAGACCCTGTGTCTCAGAGTAGCTCAAGCTTCAGAACAGCAGAGCAAGTGTGTTCAAAGATCTCATCCATTTGCCCCCTTTTCCCTACCTCCGTCTGCCTCTTTCTTTCTCTCTCCCCTCTACCTCTACCTTCCTCGACATTTGTGATCTTTTGCAGTTGGACTTTTGGTTGCATTAACCCACAGCAAAGGCAGCTTATCTGCTTCCCAAAAGTTATAGCAGAAAGCTTGGAATGAAATCTCTCTAACCCTGCCTTTCTTCATCACCGTACCAGGCTGGAGACATTATTTGCCTAATAGCTAATACTAGGAAATAAAAGGACCAAAACATTTTCTCTTCCCACTTTAAAAATAAACCAGCTTTGGGGCTGGAGAGATGGCTCAGTGGTTAAGAGCACCAGCTGCTCCTGCAGAGGACCCAGGTTCGATTCCCAGCATCCAACATGGTGTGAAACAACTGCCAGTAACTCCAGTTCCAGGGGATCTGACCTCTGACATCTGTGGACATTGCACAACACAAGTGCACTTGCATACATGCAGGCAATACACCCCCCCCCACAAAAATAATAAAATATTTAAAAAATTAAAACCAACTTCTCAACAGGCTCTACTGAGAATATTTCTTTTGAAGGACGTTAGTCTTTCCTCCACAATAGGGTGAATTTTGATTTTAAAACTAATTAAGAAAGATGAAAAAGAACTATTTGTGAGGAGTAAGCCAAGGGAGGTCAGTAGGCTAATATTACTTTTTCTTCTAGGACACAGGTATCTGATGGAATTACAAGCAGTACTCCTACAGCAACATGTATTTTTGTCCTCAAACCACAGTCCCAATTATTTTTTGTTTTCATAGCAGCTATTTCCATTAAACTGTTGGTGCTTACAAGAGGAAGTCAGCACTCAGTCCACTTCTGCCTAACTAGTGTCCAGTTTTAGTGTCCAGGGATTCTGTGGTCCAGTGTAATATATAGTTTTTCTTGGCAAATGAACATCTGACAACTTAGAGATTTTTCAGTGGTCATGCAAAAATTTGAATTAGTAGAAGCCTCTTACTCTCATTTTATTCAAATCATTTGTTGGATTAAAAGATCTGCTGGATGGGAGGTGACATATGTACCCAGCTAATCAGAAAGAAGTACCAGAGGTATTGATTTCCCCAGCTCTGATTCGGGATGCTACCAGGAGACAGATGCCACTTGCCAAGGAGCAGGTGGAATCACTTAGGGTTATTGGTACCATAGCAATGAGCTGAACTTCAGCTGATGGGGAAACATAAAAAAATATAGTGTGGTACACCGGGATGAGCCTTCCTCCATGCAACAAAAGATGAATGAGTTGATGCTCAGATAGAGGCTGTTTCAGCTCTAACTATGCCTTTCCCCTCATCCTATGCCCTTGTTTATTTAGCCCTTGATTACCTTGGAGGGAAGCATTTCATTCAAGTTCACTTCTGAAGGAATGAATACCATCACAGTACAGGTCTCGGCAGGGAATGCCATACTGCAAGACACAAAGACCATTGCAGTGTATGGTGAGTGCCCATCTTTGCTGATCTATGTCTGTTCTCATGCTCCGATGATGCTGACTGGTTCCTAGATGCTAAAGACTCTCCTGGCTAAAGAGTTGTGCTAGTTGCTTTCAGTTGTTGTGATAAATACCGTAACTACATGACCAAAAGCAACATTGGGAAGAAAGTGTGTATTTCAGCTTACACTTCTAGCTCACTCCATCACTGAGGGAAGTCATGGCAGAAACCCAAGGTAGGAGCAGAGGCAGGATCCATGGAGGAAGACTGACTGCTTGCTGGGTTGCTCTCAAGACACGCTCCTACTCAGCTAGCTTCCTTATACAGCCAAGACTCATCTGCCTAGGGCTGTACTGCTCACAGTGAGCTGAGGGTCAACTAGCAATTAAGAAAATGCCCCCACAGACATGCCCTCAGGCCAATCTAATGTAAGAAATTACTCAGGTGAGGTTTCCTCTTCCCAGTGACTCTAGTTTGTGTCAACCTTACAATAAAAATTAACCAGTACAAGAGTAGAGGTTAGTAGTTGAGAAAGAGCTAAGGCAGTTTGAGCCTATCGTTTAGAGAAATGTCATTTACCAATGGAGATGGATCATAGTTCTCTGAAAGAGCTTTTTTTTTGGTCTTCTTTAAGTTAGTTTGGGGCATGTGGAGAGACTGTTTAGCTAGGTTAGCTTCATCATTAGAAAGACTAATTCATTTCATTTGGATTTTCCTGGTATATTAGTTGCTAAAACCATTTATTAGAGAAAATCATTAATTCAGAGAGCTTTTATTTTTAAGTTTCACTTTAAAAGAAACCTTCCATTATCTGAATACCTTTTAAAATCTCTTTCACAAATCTATACTTGAAAAAGAACAAGAAAACTAACCATACCATGAACAACAGTAAACCTTTTACTAGACTAACAGCAAAAGAAAGCTCTTAACAACTAGAAGCCAGACATAGACTGGTTGTCAGTTTGAAATGTTTGTATAGTACAGTTTTGTGATCAACTGGATAACTTGAATATATTCAGAGTATTAGACTGGATGAAGTCTACTGAGATGGAAAGGCAGGGTTATTATTTGAAAATGAGAGATAAAGATTGTTTATACAGATTCATCTCGTTTTGGTAATTTTTTTCTACATAGAAGGCTAATCAAACGGGGATGAATTAATGTTACCAGCTAATGGTCAAAATGTAAGTGTTTGTTATTAATATGGAAGTGGTACATACATATCATGGGAAATCAAAATTTGAAAAACAAAATTTTAAAATTAGATACAGAATGTATATACTCTAAAAAGAGAAAGACCTGGTAAGAGGAAGAAAGGGACTATGGGAGAGAGAAGTTAGCATTTGTTTCAATTATCAGTTTAACCCAGTTCCAGAATAACTGATTCTAATAAGATAATGTAGGTCTAGATTTTCCTGGGCAGTCTCAAGCTCTTATTTTCATCCTCGTACTGACAACTTGACCTTCAAATCCTTAAAACAATTTCTAAGAAACTTTGAACATGTCTGAGGACCCAAAGGCCCACGGATTTGTTTCTTGTATGGCTGACTCAGGGTTAGATTTCATCACTTCTCTCCCTCTCTTCTGAAGAGATTTCATCAGCCCAAATAGCACAAGGAAGCTCATGTGGTGGTGACGTAGCTCTCAGCAGAAGGCCATACTGTAGGCATGCAAGGTGGGGACAGCTGTTGATTTTCCTTCCTAGGCCTCAGGCCCATGGTCTAATATTGCTTTGTGTATTAGTTTCTTTTCTGTTGCTGTCATAAAATACCCTGACCGAAACAATTTAAGAGAGAAAGGGTTTATTTGGGATCACAGTTCAAGGGCAGAGTTCATCATAGAAGGTATAAGACAGGGCAGCAGGAGACTGAAGCTGTCTGGTCACAATGCATCTGCATTCAGGAAGCAGAACAGAGAGCACAGGAAGTAGGGTCTGACCATGAAACCTTGGAGGCTGCCTCCAGTGGCATATATCCTCCAGCAAGGCTCCACCTCCTAATGGTTCCACAAACTTCCCATACAGTTCCATCAGTTGGACACCAAGTGTTGAGACACACGAGCCTGTGGGGAACATTTCACATTCAAACCACAAGAACCCTGTTAGCTTGACTCTCATTTCTCTCTTGCACTGGATGTCCAGCTCCTCCTGGATGGATTTCTTTCCCTCTTTGGATATCACATGTTGCAGCACTGGACACTAATAACACCTTTCCCCTCTGTAGGTGGCGGGTGACCACTTAATTAGAATCACAGAGCAAATCATAAACCTGGAGTCTTCATGATTTTCTAATCCAGACCATCATTTTTCTGCTAGCAAAGTGTGGTCCAGACATGGGAAATTACTAGCTTAAAAATCATTCTGCTGCTTACTGACAGTTCCATTAATAACAGTGGTGGTGGTGACACAGACTAACATTGATGAAGGCTATGCTAACCACCAGCATCTGTCCCTGGCACTTGATATATATAAACTGTTTTACTAAATCCTGTGAACAGGCTTGTGAGAAGAATCCTATAGTTATCCCTGCTTTACTAATGAGAACACATGGGATAAATATAAAGAACAAACAACCTCAGAATTCTGTCCAGAAATGACATTTCCACCCCTTGCTATGCTTCATCCTCTCCCTTCCAGTAGTCTCCTTCAAAGCATCATCCAAGAGTGGTCACTCTACCTACAATGGCAGAGGAGTGGGTCTACCTCTGAGCCACCAACCACCCTTCCCTCACCAGAAAAGTTATCCAGAAGCTGGGTGTGATAGCACATGCCTTTAATCGCTGCATTTGGGTGGCAGAGGCAGGTGGATCTCTGTGAGACTGAAGCTAGGCTGGTCTCCATAACACATTCCAGGTTGTCTGTGGCTACAGGGAGACCCTATCTCACAAAGACCAAAACAAACACCACAAAGTTAACCAGGGTGCCATATATATATTTTGAAATATTTTATTTGGTTTTTCTCTTTTTTTTTTTTTTAAGAAGTACTAGGCATTGAACCAAAGTTGTCATGCATGTGAAGCAAGTGCTGTTCCACTGTGGTATAGCCTCTGCCCTGTCATGTGAAAACTCAAGGAATTGTGACTTATTAAATAGAAATCATGCTGGCCAGAGCTGAACAAGCAAGATTGAGCTCACCCAAGAAGAAAAGTGGGGTAGTTTATAAAGACTGGTGGTGGCTGGTAGTAAAGTACTATAGAACTTAGGAGGTATGTAGAATGATTAGTGTGGTTGGATCATCTGCACTGAATACTGCCACCTAGGGGAGTTAGTCTCCCACACTCCCACAGAGGCAGACGTCAGGAGAGGGCTGCCCCATCTTTTTGGTTATGGATATATATATATATATATATATATATATATATATGTATATATCTGCCTTGAGACTATATATGGGCCCTTGTGAACACATCCCCGAGTTATTTAAGATTTACTTCTCAAAGGAACAGGAAGAACTAACAGCTGCAAGTTCACTAGAGTAAATGCTCCAAAGAGAGATCAGGGGCTACACCTAGAAGACACCTGTGTAGAACTTAGCAAAAGAAAAGGGAAATGAAGGCCATCAGTGCAGGAGGCAAACTCCGGAGATTTGATGGAGGAAGGATTGTCTACCCAAGGTCGCCCAACAGACTGAAAGGAGGACAGCTCAGCTTGTGTTGTTTCCCTTAATGGGTTTCGGGGACTGGTTTGCCTTTAAAACAGAAGTGCTTGTGTAGACTTCATCTCCTTCAGCAACTAGAAAAAAAAAAACAAAAACCCTTTAACTGTTGTTTACCCTTTCCTGTCCTCCTACATGCATCCTGTATTTGAATACTTAGGAATAGCATTTCCAGCCCATTCTGCCTTCCTCTCATGCTGTTTCACATGACTGCTCATGAAGAAGTTGCATCATTTGTATCTTTTGCTAGAATAGACAGCTTCTCTTCTAGATGAAGTCACTGTCCTCTGAGGAGACTGTGGGGAAAGTAAGAACGACATCAAGCTCTCTCTTCAGAGCCTAGCCCTGCAATGCTGCCATTTATCACAATGATAGTTAGCATGAATTCCATTGTTCTCCTTAAGAACTGAATCAGTGATAATTTTACGGGTGATCAGTGACTCACAAAATAGTCTAGCTTTGGAAACACATCTTTGGAACAGGGCAACTGTCATAAATACACATCTTATCATCTAAGTGTCTTCAAAGCATGAGTTTGATAGCTCGTTAGAATTGTTAGGAAATGCACAAGTGTACTTTTATGCTTCCTGAATATGTAATTGGAATCGTTGATGTCACTTAGCCCCTAGTGAAGTACAAGGACATGCTTGAAACAAGAAATATTCATTGACTTGGTAACTGCATAAATAACAAAGCCTTCACTGAAATTTAATAACTTATGCATTCAACACATTCTCTAATTACATGCTCTATGGATGATAATTAAAAATATACAGTATGCTACATATTGTCCCATAGTTAATCACACAGACCTTTGTCCTCGGTGAGCTTATAGTCCAGTGACATGCAGGGAAGAAAAACTATCAATAACAATAGGTATAAAGAAACAAGCAAGAAGAGTCTGGTGAAGGACATGGAGTGGGAGTAGTAGACTACCTGAGGTTTGGTGGTCAGAACAGTCTCTCCACGGAGGGACTGGAGGCAAGAGGCAGGCAGACTGTGATCTTGGAGAAGTAGAGACAAGATAGGATGAAAAAAAGATGTGATGATGGAAGTGCAGCGGGAAGGGTAGGGTGGGGGCACAAGGTGTGCAAGGATGTGAGATAGTGGAGGAGACGACACCATGTTATATGGGATGAAGAAGGCAAAGGTAAGCATCTGCTTTTTCTTCTAAGCACAACATGGACCAACTAGCAGGGTTGGGACAAGAGTACTATGATCTGACTGTACTTTGTGCCAAACACTGATTAGGGGTGTAGGAGATATAAAAATGTACCCCAGCGCTGTGTTCTGAAGCCCACCACTAAGCTAAGGTTCCAGCTTCACTTTCTGGAGATGGATCATAGCTAATAGCATAGTGTTGAAGAGTTACTGAACCTGACCCTTTCTTGGAACACAGGGATCCTTCTACCAGCTGACTTTGATTCAGACTCCTGACAGTTCTCCCACTTGTCCTGCATTCCTTGGTTTATATATTCTCCACGCCTCCTCTGGCTGCCTCCCCATTTCCTCCCAGAAACTGTTCATTACCTAAGATCATTGTTGGCTTAATCACCTTCCTACTACCTGGAATATCAGAACTAACTTGGGTGCTGGGATGGGGGGCTAAAATATCAGGAACTTGAAATCCCATCCAATGAAAATTCTATGCAAAAAAAGCTAACAAGAGAATAGTTGTAATAACAATATAAGTATGTAACCATAAAACAATTACCCTACCTTCATAAAATGATAAAATATATGCACAACGTAGTAGTATCATTGCAAAGTAAAGTTTGAAAATTGATGATGCGGAAGAATGGTCAGTCAGGAACAGCTCCAACTGATCTTGAATATTTTTGGAGGTAAAGCAGAGGGGGTGAGTGGGTATTCCATGCAGAGGAACAGGGCCCTCAAATCATAGAGTTGCCAAGCAATGGGGACTTTTGGATTGTTTAGTGTCCAGGATTGCAAAGCCTAGAACTAGAGATAATTGGCAAAGATGACAGAAGAAGGGAGGGACCAGAGTCCAGGGCTTTAGTTTAGCAAGTGAAGAATTAGGGAGATAAGAGGAAGAGGATGGTGAACTTGTCTTCTACAAGGGGTATCGTGGTGAGTGTGATGGGCTTTGCCTAAAATTCAATCCTCGCAATGCTTAATAAAACTGCTTAGTTACAGTAATATACTTACTGTTGCATACACAGAGGAGTTCCGGTCTCTCCGCCTGGCCTTTTCTCCAAACCTTGATGACTACAACCCTGACATCCCAGAGTGGAGGAGGGACATCAGCCGAGTCATCAAAAAGTCTCTGGTGGAAGTGAGTGAAAACTATATCTTCTCTTAATTGGACACAATTGTCTATCTTTGAAGGGCTTCATGGAAATCTGATCCCTTTTCAAAGGAAGAAGAAAGAACTGGACCCCAAGGGAAGACTAATGTCTTCACATTGTGGTCCACATGTGCAGACCTGTCTTCATTATCAGGGGAGTGCAACCCTCAGAAATGTGTAACTCTAGCCTTCCTAGAAGAAGTTGATTCTGTTTAGAGAAGGACAGAAGAGTCACACTACCCTGTTTATGATTCAAGTACAAAAATCAGCTACATGCATAATTACCAAAAAGCACAGGGTCTAAGTGTCTTCAAGAGTGAGTGTAATTAGTAAGGCCAGGACTCCATACCTGTAGCCCAGCAACTTCAAGAACACTTGGTACATGATGACTGGCCATATTTCTGTGCTTCACTTCTTTTAAGGATATTCCTGTCTTGTGCAAGCCCAAGAGAAGGTTATTAGGATCCTCATTTTGTAGAAGAACCAGCTGAAGTTCAGAGGAAATAACTTTTCCAGAGTCTCATGGCTAACAGGTGACAAAGCTACAAAGCTGAACAGAATGGCCTGTTTCTCATGTCTGAAATGTCACAATGCAACACAGCCTGTAAGCCTCTAAGCTTTCTGGGAGAGTACCGAGGTGGCATGGCTTATTCCTCAGTGTGCAGAGGTCACTGAGCACTATAGGAGTCATCCATCCTTCAGTATTTCTTCCCCATTTATTCCGCTTTCATAGTGAGCAGAGGACAGCTGTTCACAGGCTGGTCTGACCTAGTTTCCAAACATGGGAAATCAGAGATGAGTTGTTTTCAACAGTGTATGTTCTTAGCAAAAAATGAAAAATCAGCATATCATTCTCACATTCTCACATGGTGCCACTTCATACAAAATAATGAGGAATAAGGATGTTCAGATAGCCTCTGATCAGGAAGGAGATCTCATATGCTGGCTCCTGGCACCCAGTCTGCACACCAGGGCCTTTATTGATATGTACTTAGCACTGAATATTCTAGTGCTCTACTTGGTGCTTTGTATTAGGTAACTATATTCAGTACCCAAACCAGCTTCCTGTATTTGTACTGTGCTCATTCCACTTTATAGGCAGGAAGCTCAACTATGAGGCAAATTTGTGTACTTTAAATTCATGTTCTGAAATCAGACCCACAAGTTCCAGTCCCAACTTTATGGCTTCTATAACATTCTAATATATTTCTAGCCTCCCTTCCCCACCCCTCCTTTTGAGAGAGGATCTCCCTGTAGCCCCAGCTTGCCAGGAACTTGCTATATAACCCTGGCTGGCCTCTCACAAAGATCCACCTGCCTCTGCCCCTTGAGTGTTGTGATTAAAGTAGCCCTTTCCCTATTTATAAAGAAAAATATGGATGGATGGAAGGTTTGGATGAATAAGGAGAATCTACGGGTACCTCTGAATAACTGCCATCTCACCTCTGTGTGGCTATTAGCAACTACCACACACTATTACTGGTTGAACTTCTTGAACACCTGGAGGCTTAGCTGATAGACTGCTGGCCGACCGCAGTTAGGATTTCTGCCCTCAGAAGTTCTTGTTCCCTTCTGTCAGAAATGGTTTCTTTCCTCTGCTACTCACACACAAAAAAACTGCACCCAGTTTCTTCAGTCCGCAATATTCTAAGCACCCTGGGCCCAGACAACTGTCTAATTGCCCCTAGTGATTTATCAACTAGGCCTTAGCTCAGCAATGATCAGTGTTCTAGGCTGATTTTATTTTACACTCATTATCTAGACAGCAGAATCCCTGGGCTTCCACCCTGCCACTGAATGCCCAATGCTCTTTAGTATATCCAGCCTGGTGCATGTTGCAATCAGCTAAATACAGAATAAATGTGTTGGATCAACATCCGTCTGCACAGGGTAGTAGTGTGGAAACCAGGTGGCGTCAATTTGTTTCAATTTACCCCCAGAGACAACTGACCTTGTTCTCTTGTCCCCATCATCCCCCCCACCTGCGAGATCAATAATTACATTCAGCTACTTTAAGTTCTAAAGGACCACATTAATTGCACCCTAATAACCCCTGCAAGAAGTGCAAGTTAGAGTCAGCTTATTTACAGTTTTATTCCTATTTGTTGTGTGACAGAGTTTAATATAAAATTGGTTATCTTTTCTTCATCAAATTGGCTTTTATATGGACATATCATAATGAAATCTTTAAGTGAATGCCAAGCAGCAGATGATTTTTGTGTATTATGCGGGTGATTTGTACTTAATCTCTGAGCTTGCAATCTGGTAGGCACATGAAATAGTATGTTGTCAGCTGTAATAGGAGATGGGGTATGGTGTCATGATAACGGAGGCATAGAGCACAGTTTACTCACCATGGTTTCTCAGCCAGACAAAGCTCACAGCATTACCAGTCCCTTCCTAGGTGACTTTGTGCCACTGGATGATCTTCCTGCAGTTTCCATGCAGGTCCCCCATTCAGGGAGAGACTTGCCATGGCTGCTGTGGTGGTGCTTTGGACTGCCTTATTCCAGGTTCTACTTTTCCCCATATTGGTTCAAGTCCAGTGACTGTGGTTATATAAGCCCAATTTCTCAGCCCAATTTAAGACAACTCTGAAGGGTCAGTCTGTCTCCTTATGGGCTCTCTTGAGTTTGTCGTTTGGTCTAGAGGACATTGCTCTTCCCTACTCCCTTCCCTTCATTCTCATAGGAAACGAGGGAACATTTCTTACTAAACACTCCACACACTAAATCCACAGTCAGCTTCCTGAGGACCCCACCCTGTGATGTGTCTTCTGCAAAGTTGGGCCTAATAATACTTAAAGTGATTGTTGTGGGATACTTGATAAAATGACATGGCTTTTACCCAGCACAATGGCTGAACACCTCATAAAGGCCTACGACATGACATTTATTGTTATTTTGAAAAAGGCAATTGAGAAATAATCAGTTCACTAGGAAATCATGAAAATTATGTAATACGAAATGTGGAGTTCAGAATGGCTCATGAAAGATCAGTAGTGTTATAGCAGCAAGATACAAGTTACACAAAAAAGGCATTCTGAGAGACTGGTAAGCATGCAGAAAATCACTGATATGAAACATTGAAACATTGAGGAATTGTACATCATTCATTGGACTAGATCATAAATGGCCTTCGTGAGCTGTGAGTTGTTAGTTTGGAAATGAAGGATGGGGCCATTTTGCACAAGATCTTGAATGTTTGCTTAATTCAGGTAGCAAGCAAGAGAACATGAATAAATTGGGCTCTAGGGAGATAATCATATTCTATCTCCTGGAGATAAGGAGACCATTGCAAAACTCAAGGGTAGTGACCAGAAATGTTGACTTGGGCTATCAACACAGTATGGATCCCAACAAGAAGGAGCCAAAGGATGGTTCATGCAGAAGTTGATTGTTAGGTTTTCAAATATATCAGGAAGAGAGGAGAGCGTATTGTCAGAGGCGAATAGAAAATTGTGTCAAACTAGAGCAATTGGGAAAAGGCTATTAAATGTAAAGCTACCTAAATGTAAAATTTGGAGAGTGAGAACCAGAAAGCTTTATTATGTGTATTAAAGTTTTCATGAGGGGCTGGAGAGACGGTTCAACAATTAAGAGCATTGGCTTCCCTTGTGGAGGATGTAGGTTCGATTCCCAGCACTCACATAGTGGCTAACACCATGTGTAACTCCAGTTCCAGGGGACCCAAAGATGATCTCTTCTGACCTCCATGGGCCTTGCATGACAGGGGTGCATTTACATGCATGCAGGCAGTACCCTCATACATATATAATAACACTAATAAATATTTTTAAAAGTCCTCATGATATAACCAAGTGACATTTTGAGTGGCTATGAAGAGAAAAATTAGTATTACAACTACTGATTCTAGAACTATCTACCCTAGGGTATAACCTATCTACCCTAGGGTATAAGCTAATGCAAGAGCAAATGTTAAGGCAAATGGGAAGCTTTTGAATACTATCTGAATTTTTATCTTTATTTTACTTAATTAGTAGTATATATTTATTATACATAATGGTCTCCATTATGATTTTTCACACATACATGTAAGATATGCTGATCATAGCCATTGCTCTCTCGTCCCCTCTCCACTTCCACTGATCCTTTTTCCTCCCTCTAATCTGCTGATTTTCATGTTTTGTTTTGCTTTTTTATAATCAAATGAGTTTCATTAGGATTGGTTTCAGGAGCATAGGGGGAGGTTTGTTACAGGAGAAATTCTAGGGGTGTGACAAAGGAGGAAGGTAGATTAGTAAGGTCCAAGGCATAAGGAAGAGATGATAGAGGTTAGTCTGTGAGGGTCTTCTCACTGGTCTGCTCCTCTTTCTAAAGATACCATCTAGGAAGGAGAGTGAATAGTTGAATTCCAACGGGAATGCTCACTTTACTTTCTAAATCACAAATTAGCAAGTCAGGTGCTGTTCTTACATGGTTTTCTACTTAAGGAAATGTAGGCATGGACACAAGCAACTAGTCATGCTGCTTCCGTGGTGGAGCTGGAATTGAACTTGGGTCAGTCATTCTAATTCTGAACCTAACCTGTGGTCCAGCACTGCCTATTGTACCTCTTACTGCCTTCAGCACCCAGGTCTTTGCTCTTAGCCTCTTCTCTCCATATTCCACCTCTACTGCTATCCAGCCCTTGTTCTTCCTCATAGGACTTACCCAGTCTGTGTGTCTCTCCACAGGCCACAGGTGTTCCCAGCCAGCACATCTTGGTAGCAGTATTACCTGGCTTACCCACAGCTGCAGAGCTCTTTGTTTTACCCTATCAAGATCCAACTGGAGAAAACAAAAGGTCACCTGAGGATCTGGAGCAGGTGAGACCCCCAAGAGACATTTACAACCACTCTCTCACACCCACAATGGTAATTAATCCAACTACCACAACAGCTCTGAGCGTTCTCAGGGAACATGGCTAGAGCCATCAATGGACTATTTAATTGGGTATCTGAAAGCAGATGGCTTCTCTGAAAGCTATGCAAATGAGAATTTGCCACAAATGTAGGGACTGCTACATTTTGATGAAAAGAGCACATGTTTAAAGAGATATACAAGAACCGGGCATGGTGGCACATGCCTTTAATCCTAGCACTCGCACTCGGGAGGCAGAGGGAGGCAGATCTCTGTAAGATCACAGACACCCTGGTCTACATAGTGAGTTCCAGGACAGCTGGGGCTGCAGGGAGACCTTATCTCAAAAAGACAAAAGAAGAGAGAGAGAGAGAGAGAGAGAGAGAGAGAGAGAGAGAGAGAGAGAGAGAGAGAAGAGAGAGAGGCCATTTTATAGTTTCATATCTGCTATCCATGTGTTTGTCTTACACATGAGGTAAGTAAGGACAAGAAGAGTCAATTTAGTCAAAGAGCAATTTCATAGGTGTTTAAGTGGATTAAATAATACAAGAAATCATTTGGCTAACAGTAGATGCTCAATAAATAGTAAATAGAAAGCAGTTGAATTTGCGTTCATATTACGATAGAAAGAGTTGTGGAAATGCAAAGAGTATGTTTTCAAGCCTTTTAAGACACTTGGGATAGTCAAGAATGAATTAGGAGGGCTAGAGAGATTGCTCAGTGGTTAGAGAACTGGATTCAATTCCTAGCAACAACATGGCAGCGAACAATCATCTGTAACTTCAGTTACAGGGGATCTGATGCTCTCTTATGACTCCTTGGGCATTGTACAACACATGCAGGCAATGCACTCAAACACATAAAATAAAAATAATAAAAAAGGATATATTGGGAGAGAGGATGTTGGTGGTAAGGAAATAAAATGACTAATGATTTATACAAAATAGGGAAGAAAGCAAGATCAATAAGAAAAGAAAGAATGAATAGTGCCGACATGCACTAATACCAGTTATTTAGATTCAGAGTGGAAAGAATTTCTATCATTCAATGTAAAACAGGACATCAAGTTAGAAATTGTAGCTCTGATTAAGGAAGTTGACTATATTTTAGCCCATACCAGGCCTCCATTCAAAGTAAACCCAGTGACCACACAAAGCCCATGACTGATTAGTGTCTGAGTTGTGGAAAGCATCACTACTCTGATTGAAAAATACAACAATGAAATCATCTTTAAATACCAGCATGTATATTGAGACTCCAGAAAATAGGTTGCCTATAGGAAACCTGTAGTTTTTAATCTGGGTATGGTCTGTTGATACTGTTTTGTGCCTTAGTCATGATTAAATATCATGAAGGAACAAGTGAGTTTAGGAACTCATTTAATTTAGAGTTCCAGAGAGACAGTCCAATCAGATATATTCAAGACCAATCAAGGGTGTCACCCAACTACTTCCCTCTCTTCTTCTTCTCACAATCTTGTTTCTTTGCTAAAACATGAGAATCTTGTCCAAAAAAGGAAGCCAGCATACAGGAAAGGAAAGATGACCACAGCAAGCAATGGCTTCTATCGAGTTTGATTCTAACCCCATCCAAAGGACAGTGCCTCTCCTCTGACAGCACCAACAGGAGCCCTAGGTTTACAGTTGTCATCAGACCAATGTAGGTCACGTGGTCAGCTCTTCAGTCATAGAGATGAAGTACTGTCAGTGAAAATTAAGATGTTTTAGTCCCTCTGAGGCTTGGGAGGTTAGGGTAGCCCTTCCTGAACTATGAGTAAATGGTGTTAAAACAGAAAGTACATGATTATTCACAGCAAAGTTGGAAGGAGGAAGGAAAATCAGGGAAGCTAAAATGGCTGACTTCTAGTATAACAAAATATTGAAGACAAACACAAAGTACACACAAGCAACAGACATGAGCCCCTTAATTCAGGGCTGAACTTGGGAAGCCAGTTTCACCTCCTCCCTTCATGCTCTACCCCCTTTCTCATAAAGAAGTGGTACAGTCCCCTCAGCAGGTTAAAAACAGGCATCCTGTTTTTGGTCCTTGAAGAACAGGAGGGCAAAGTCACAGTGATATGTCCTGTTCCTCCTCCCTGAGCTGCTTTCTGAGAGCACTCCCCAGGGAGCAGAAATGCTGGTTGAATGGAGCTATCTTGTCTGTGAAATAAATTGAGAATTCCTCACTGTGAGATGCACTTGACCCTGCTATCAGGATGCCACAGCTGGGTTAATCAAGTGCCCTCTGTCTGGGTGAGCTCCACCATGCTTTCAGATGTCTGGTGAGTGAGAAAAGGCTTTCTCGCCCTCTTTGGCCTCATCAAGGATAGCACATCCAGCTGTCTTAAGGCCAACTGCTCAGGTATGGAACCAGCTCTGCCCTCTGGGCCCTGAACTCCCTTGTTTCTGACTCCTCAGAGGTGACAGATGTGGATCATCCACTCCTAGAAGGAGGTAGGCCCACCATTCTCTGTACAGGCTGTGATGCTTTGCTGGGGAGATCGGGAGCTTATGTACATAGTCTTTCATAATCCTTCAACAGCATTAAGAACATTTAAAGGGAATAAAAGGAATTGTGGAAAAATATCAAACACACACATAATTTCCTTCTTAATCTCTGTTGCTCTTCACGTTTGACAGATGCAGATTCCAAATTTTAAGGACAACATGAATGAGAGATTCAAAAGTAGATCACCTATTGGTGGCATTTAAAGAAACTTTATACTCACGATTAAACAAAATTAAAATCCACAGACTCTCTGTGTGTCTGTAGTATGTTTTCCTGTCAGTTCTGAATTTGTAACATGGGGATTCAAAGTTAACCTGGTATTGGCAAGGAAGGACATTGAAATAGGAAAACTATAACTCATAAAATATGGCTCATAAGAGGTAAACCAAGGTGCCTTGGCAGAAGGGACTGAGAAGCCAAAAGCTGGTGACGAACCATTCACGGCAAAGGCTAGGACCATGTGAGTAAGCATTAACTAGAATTTAGAATTGACTCTACTATCTCTCACAGTTTAATGCAGAAATTATATTGTATGGTTTGGTAAAAGTTTCTTCTGTTGACAACAAGAAGCCTCATCAATTGCTATTTGGAGGGAGCTTAATAAAGTGACAAGATGAGGTTTTATCAACTGGAGCTTCTCCATAGCTATCCCAGTACAGGCTCTCTCTAAAGATGGCACCAGAGTGTCACTACTTATGTTCAACAGAACCAGTATTCCTCAGATCAGCTTCATGGATGAGTTTTACATTTTCTAACCAGAGCAGCCTTTTTATTGGTAAAGAATTTCATACATGCATACAAAACAACACCCAGTGCCACCACAACCTGAGGACCACCCACAGAACTGTACATGCCTTTCATATACATGTGAAGATCTACAGTGAGAAATTGCTAACTCTATGGAGGGACCATTCCTATGCTCAGAAGCTGTATTTAGCCTTAGCTGAGCTGGACCAATTCTAATACTCCATTTCCCATCAACACTGAGTGGCCCCAAGATTGAACCACAAGCACCACTCAGTTGATCCAAAACCTGACATGTTAAGGTGATGGGAAATAGAAATCCAAATGCCTACTCAACAAAGGTGGGCAGATATTCACTCCAAAAGACACACCATGCACCTAAGTTCAGCTGCCCAGGTTCCATTGAAAAATACAAACAACATGAAAAACCAAGACATAACATGTCTATTCAAAAATTAGTGCTCTCATAGTAACATTATCTGAGGACAGGAGCTTAGATGACATGCAAGAAACCAAATTCAAAATATCAATTGCAGATATGTTAAAGGAATTCACAGAGGACATGAATTAATGACAGAATGAAGATCTCAAAAGCACAAAAAGTTGAATGAAATAAAGGAAAACAATTGAACATTTTATTCGCTTTGAATAATATTTTTCTTTGCTCTTTGAGCATTTCAAACACTCATAGAATGTATTTTCATCATATCCACTGTGTACTCCCTCCATACAACTCCCTCCACATGTCTCCTTCCCCACTTCATGTCCACTTTATTGAATCTCTGTCTTCACCTCACTGTGCTGCTTCTTTGGGCTGTGATTCATAAATTTATTAACTTCTCTGTTAAACTTCCTTTTTATTCATTTTCAAAGATTGCATTTTCATCCCAGTAATCTGAGAGTGTGTTTCCCCCCAAGCAATTTTATTAAAAATAGTCAAGACGTTACGTTAGTCCCTTACGAGCTTATCCTCACTACTGTTTATCACATATTTCTAGTCTACTTCCTTTTGGGTACATGGTAAGATTCACTTATGGATCTTTCCTGGCTGGGCAGAGTCACAGGCTTACTCAGGCCACTGAGTTGGGAGAAGTGCCATGTGTCATTTCCAATATGAAGAATTCAAGTGCATGCAAACCCTGGGAAGCTCTCTCCCCCTACACACTGTAGTAAACAGAAATGTTTGAGATGGCTTCATGCCCAGCCTGCCCTCCCACTCCCATGAGAGAAGGCAGCTGCGTATTTGCCGTGGACATAATGCGTGAGGAAAGAATTAACTAAAATACCCATTTTTTATTCAGATCCCTGAGAATTTCCCATTGTTCCTTCAGTCTAGCAGAGTTCTGACTGTTGCACTCGATCTTCATCTTTTGTGATAAAGATAAAGAGAAGAATCAAACGGGCGTTTTTCCTCCAGCGAGCCCCTCCCGTGGCATCTTTTTAATGGTCGCTTTTCCAGTGTTTGTGTTGAGTACAGGCTGCCTTTTCAAGCAGCAACCTAAATGAAGTGTGGGCTGCATCGGAGTCACAGACATCTCCTATTGAAGAGGCAGACACCAGGAATAATGGCTTGTTTTTCAGCCATGATTGTTTCGCTGAAGTAGAATAGGAAATGGCCTGTGTAGGAGCACAGCCTCAGAAGAGGGGTGCAGGGGAAAGGGCAAACCGAAAATACTGAGGAAACACACTTTTCACTGGGCAGCAAAGGAAATTCATCTTGCTTCAGCATGTCTCGTCTCTCAGAAGTCACTTATTATTTCACTTGAGCCTTTATCTGGCAGTATTTGTTCCCTTCATTCAGGTTCCTGCCATGCTTTCCTGAATACCATGCTTTATTCTACTCTCCCCATAGTCAAAACTCTCTCAGATATTATAATCTATATAGGTGGGATGTGGCTATGCTGAGGAGAGTGCTAGGAATTACTCATTCCTGTGGCTCACACTGATCAATGGTATTGAGGGTAGTGTGTTAGTCTGTGTGTACTACAGGTGGACCAGAAATGGCATTGTAATTAATAACATGCTGTATCATTTCTATCTCCTTTATTCACTCACTGAAATCTGTCTCTGGATATCTGTCTCTCATCCTCTTTGTCACCTGTTTCAAGGAACATATTTTTAAAATGGAACTGCCCTAGCATTAGGAGCCAAACAAAGCTGAAGTCTAGTATTAACACTTCAAATATTAACTGGGTAAACTTTCGTATGTCCTTTAAGCTCTGTGCTCTTCCATGGGATTAATGGTATTCCCAGCACTAACACATAAAACATACAGTGTTAAGAAAAATAGCCAGATGTAAGCAATATTACAAAATAAAATGTTCAATACCTATATCATGTACTGAAATGTACATATAGCAGTTCAGGATCCAATAAACACGATACAGGGCAAGAACTCTCAGTAACATAGTAAAATGATTTAAAATATTGTCAAATTTTGTGAACTATATCGTATTATTCATTTGAGTAGAAAAATACCTGGTTCTAATTGAGGTTATTCTTGTATATAATTTAAATTTCATTTACTTTTGCTTCTTATGTACAATTTCTTTCCCACAGAGTATATATTCTTCATTAAATGTCTTTTGATACAAGTTAAATACATGAAACATGCCTTCTGTTACCAGATTAATTTTGTATATCCAGCTTAGTTTTGTAAATGATAAAGATTAAATCCATTGAAACAGTGCTGTAAGCCAAAGCACGTCTAAGAAGTTGGTTGTTTTCACAGGGGACTGACTCCTGGAGATTATAACGTGCATGTATGTGGCTCTGATAAATCATACTTTCCGGTTTAGTTATTTATATCTCTCACTTGAGGATAAATGTTTTCAGGAATAAGATATAAACATCACTTCACCTGGCAGAAGTTGGGAAGTCCTTTGTTACAAATACACAGTTATGTTTTGTCTATTTGATACTTTCTAGGAACAGGTTAGTTTATTTTTTTAAGATTTTTTAGTAGATCCCAGAGAGAGAGAGAGAGAGAGAGAGAGAGAGAGAGAGAGAGGGAGAGAGAGAAATAGGAGTTTTCAGGTATGTCGTGTGTGCAGGTGTCCATTGAAGCCAGAGTCATTGGATCTTCTTGGAGCTTCAATTACAGGCAGTTGTGAGTCACCCAGTGTGAGTCCTTAGAACCTAACTTGGGTTCTCTGTGAGAACAATGTGCTCTCTTAGCCACCGGGCCATCTCTCCAGCCCCCAAACAGGTCAATTTCTTAATTGCGTCTTAGAAAATTTTCGTGTTTGAACTAAATGTTTTTTTTTTCCAATTGTATATACATATGGTTTTGTTTATATGTATGCACATATCCATTTAATAATTTATTTCTAAATTTCATAGCCAAACGCAGTGATTTCTATCAAGACCTTACTAATTGAGTAAGAATCAGAGAATACAGTGAAACACATTTGATGAAATATCTTGGAAATCTGTTTGCTTACAAACCTGGACCATTGAAGAAAATTTCCGGGCTTATAAACAAGGAATGTCTTAATAGAGAGAACACAGTTGTCTTAAGCATAGCTTCAACACAACTATGCTTTTCTGCATGATTTCCAGATGACAGCATTTGAGGGAAATGGCTTGCTGAAGATCCCAGGTGCTCATCCACAGGGCACGGAAGATCATCTCTTACTCTTCTTGTTCAGCAAAGAAGTTCATGGTCAGGGCAGTTAAGTCCCATTACCAACTAGGGATTTCCACAAAGGAATCTGCTTCAAAATAAACCACCAGGACCTGCTGAATCATTAAGGCTTAGCAGTGCCTTTTTGGCAACTTAATGGAGAAAATGAAGCTAAACAAAGAGAAAAGAAAATAACAGAGAATAATTTAACTGGAAGAGTAATAGTCAGAATACATTTAATTAGGCTTCAATAGCATATTAAATAAAATTTGGATTTGATGCTTAAAATAGAATGTTAAAGCCGGGTGTGGTGGTGCACGCCTTTAATCGCAGCACTCGGGAGGCAGAGGCAGGCAGATCTCTGAGTACAAGGCCAGCCTGGTCTACATAGTGAGTTCCAGGACAGCTGGGGCTATAGGGAGACACTGTCTCAAAAAGACCAATATATAATGTTAAAAACAGGCAATGATATCAGATAAAAATCAGAAGGAGTGGATTATTCCTCAGAACTATTCAGAAATTTCTTAAAACCTGTAAGCAATGAGCAATAAGACTGTATTCTTAAAAAAAAAAAAAAAAAGAATTTTTACCATATCTGTAAGACCTTACCTTATAAAATTTCTACCCAAAACCCATGCTCAAGTTGAATATCCCATGGTCTAGAATTCCATATCCAGCACAAACATGTACCAGCTTCAGGAGTGGTATAGCTAATATCTATATTTATGAAACAGAAATTAACCAACTCATTGTGCAGATTGTGACTACACTTTGTTTTATTGTATTATTATTTTAGTGACAACATTTATAATTCAGTAGTCATAAAGTATGTACCTACTGAAAGGCACAGGGATGGTTTAGAAAGAGAAATGGAAATAACCAACAGGAATCTCACTGGAATGTGTGAACTGTGTATGAGTACTACTTTTAACTTCTTATACATGAGAAATGCTCCCTTTAGGCACCTTATTGGATAAAATTAATGTGACTTGGTGAACACTGAACATTTTTCAGTGTGGTTGTACATAGTCAACATGACCATTTTGCTGTCACTAACTATAACACTTCTTTCAGATATCCGAACTATTAATCCACAAACTCAACCAAAACTTGGTGCACTTCGAGCTGAAGCCTGGGGTCCAAGTTCTTGTCCATGCAGCACATCTAACAGCAGGTCAGTTTCCATACTCCAGGGGTCTTGCCAGCAACTGTAGAAAGGGAGCTCCCATTTTGTGGATCACTATGAAGGATGGAGAGTAAACATAAATTGGGCACTAATTTCTTAAACTTCCTTGATTGATGTTCCAGCATTAATGGAGAGCCAGTTAAGCAAGACAATAGGATGTTGTTTCTACTTGGTCCCTGGAAAAAGCCTCTCAATAAATCACATAGATACATGAAGTTGTGCAATAGCACGCTCTTTCTCAATATAACTCTTCAAAAGCATCTTAAAATTATAAGTAAAATTTTCTAAGTCTTTCTACAAAGACTTCTTTTCAAATCATTCCTTTCACACAGAATTTGCTTTTTTTGGTGTTTCAGGATAATGGGTTGCAGGGGAAATCTCATAGATTTAGGTGTTATATAGGGCCAAGCTTGATACGGTCATGATTTTGTAAAGAAATACTGATATTTTGTCTCTTTCCCTGTCAAAAGCAGGGAGAAAACTTCTCCTTCTAAGGTGCTAGAAAGCTTCAAAGACAAAACAATAATCTCAAGCATTTAGAAATAGGTTTCACTGTGGGTATTAATATGAATTTTAATAATGAATTGGGCAATGTTTATCAATTATTTGTTTTTGCAGAGTGTTGTGCTAATGCTTCATGGGCTACATGAGTCAGCTAGCAATCATTTTATGCTAATTAAATTTCCAGCCTCATTAATGTGTGGAGAAATTTGGTGTTAGCATTGGGGGGGGTGCTGTGTGATGGGGAGAATGGTTGGACAGTGGGGATATTTTAAGGAGTAAAGTGCATATGAGATTGTGTAGAGAGACAACATGGCATATTTAAGTATGTGAGTATTTTAAGTATTTGTTTGTTTTTCAATTTCTGTTTTGTTTTGCTTTTCTCAGCCAGGTCGTTAGTTTCCATCATTGTTCTAGTACTCACTATACAGAAAAGAGATTCAAATTCTGTGTTCCTGAGAGGTGATAATGGAACATAAGTCAAAGGGATTGGGTGAGAATTAGGTTGGTTTGTGTATGCACTTAGACCAGTGTTTAGCATATGAAAAGCTCTTGTTTTTCTTTGATTCCTTTGTATTATTAACAGGCAAAGTAGTTGAGACAATTAAAAGCAGAGATGAATTCTGTTTGTTCAAAATGGTGGTGGGCATTGTATAAAGGAGGTGATATTTGGGGAGACCTGTGAAGGGTGGGTAGGAGTGAGGACAGAGGACATTAGTTTCCATGTATCTATCCTCTAGTTTTCTGGAGATTCCTGGAGGTGGCCCATGTCTAGAAGAAGGCTAACCATATTGCACTGACCCCTCTTCTTCTTCCATTGCCTTAAAAAGACATTTTCAGATGCCATTGTTCATAAATATGTGGACTGCAGGTGGAAAGTGGGGCATGGCAGGTGAGCCATCTGTGCTTGCTTTAGTAGCTCATGGAAGCCACAAAGGCCTTTGAAAATAGGTGCGAGGTTTATTTCATTAAATGATTGAACATGTGTAGAAGGCAGGCTGTGCATCATCATCATCCTCTCCCACAGAAGGTGGAGCTACTTGCTCACATTGTACTTAGGGGATGAACACAGAAGAACCTGGTATTTTTCATGGAATTCTGCAGTGAAAGGAGTGTTGCCAGCTACTTCATTGCATTTCATTTAAAATTTTTTTTTTAGCATACTGAGCTTCTGAATGAATTTAGAGAGTAAACGATGCTGTAGTGAAGCTTGATTTAGCAGAAAACACTGCTTTTACTGTTTACCTGGAGTTTGTGTTGGAAGGGGGCATCTCAAAGTCAGCTAAACAGAGAATTGGCAATGTTCATCCACTTCCTCTATTCTTGAAGCCAACCCTATCGTGGTCCCCCCTCTTTCCCCCACAGCTTTCCTCTATCAGTTACTATTTGTCCCTGCTTTCCATTTAACATGCTGTTACATTACAATGGTGTCTCACATTATTTCTGCAAATTTGACATTTTACTTCAAATATTGCAATACCAATACTTAGGAACTGGAGTCAAGGGGGTCAAGGCAAGATTGAGCTACATAGTGAGACCCAATTTCACAGGGAAGAAAAAGACTCAAAGAAAGAGTGAGTGAGTAGGTGGGAAACCCTCTTGCAGGAACTAATTTAGAGTTGGTACCAAGTTGAAAAGTAGGGTTTGAAAATGTGGGTAAATAGGGACTGGAGAAGTGGCTCAGTAGATAAGAACACTGGCTGCTCTTGAAGAAGACCCAGGTTCAGTTCCCAGAACCCACATGGTAGCTAACAACTATCAGTAGCTGCAGTTCCAGAGAATATGACCCTCTTCTGGCCTCCGTGGACATTGCATGATGTAGGTGCACTTGCATTCATACAGGCAGGACACTCATACACATAAAATAAAAATAAAATTTAAAAATAAAAAGTGAATAATTCATTATCTGAGACTGAGTTAACCCATAGCTGTGCAGTAAGGGCATCCTGAGACATGCATGGATCCGAAGATCATGTGGAAGTCCCATCCTCGATAGCTACAAGATATTCATGTCACTGAAGTAAGCTCTAGATGGCAAGAAATAATGCAAAGTTGGGAAGACCTGATAATTTTCTCCATTCCATGTTCACAGTGCTTTCACAGATGGGCTTTTGGGAGAAGGAGTCAGTTTGCTGGGAAGAAAGGCTGGCAGAAGGGAGATATGTCACTGGGAATCCTCAGAACCAAACTAAGATTTGAAAGTCAGACCTCTGTACCTTAGATGAATATGACTCAAGGTTGCCAAGACAACAAAAGGAAAGATGTAGCACCAAGCAAAAGAGCATCCTTACACTGCACAAATTTGGGAAGAGAGAAAATCCCTTGTCTTCAACATATTATGGCTATTTAGGTTTTTTTCCTATTGGATTTAATAGTAATATCTTCTGTTAGTTTAATTCCTAATTTGATCAACTAGCTTTATTGAACTTTCTGTCATGACTGGCTAAGCAACTATATTGACGTAGACTTATAGGTGAATCATTAGCTCCAGCAAAGGATGGAAATACCCAAGGCTGACAGAATAACTGAATCTTTATAACTGTTGCTGTATTGAGTTACTCACATTGGTCATAACAGAATTAACACTGACTATATTCCCATGTACAATCATTCTGTACTTTAGCAACAACAAGAATAGCAAAAGATTTGTGTCAAAAAAAGCATTCCTTAATAATTATGAAAATGACACAAAATATATGAAGCATGAGTTTCTTGAAATCAATCTTGGGTTAGCTCTAGTTATCTTATTTAGAAGAATAAAACAAAAAAAGAATTTGACCATCGGTTTGTTGGAACGTATGTCTACCAAAGAGAATAGAGAATGTTTTCTTTTCATGCATGGAAAACCCAAGAGTTTAGGTGAAGGGCAGGTGGACTGAGACATTTGCCATGATGTCATCTAAATCTAAATTGACATATTCCTACGTGGGTGAGGAAGTGTATTTGATGCAAAATTTTCACTATAATTTACTTTCTCCTCTCATCGTTTTATCCCTACTACAGAAATGGAAAATATCTTTTAAAGGACCACTATTTGCAACATTTCATATCTCATCATCAGGACTGCTAAAATCTTCCCAGGGACCATTACCCCACACTCCTGCATTCCATTAATTGCTCAGCAGATGTTCAGCAGCCTTCTCTTAAAAATGTTTGAGTCAGAGCAAGTTGCTGGAGAGAGGCAATGCATAATTTGGTTAGTCTCTAAGGGAAAAGAACTGTCTCTTTTACAGGAATTTACTAGCCTTGTTTTGGTTTTCAAATTCAGTTCCCTATTTGCTTTTATGGAACATAAGGTAAACTTCTGCAGATACCTGGATATCATTAGAGCCTGGATTTTGCTTATATATTTCTTTTAGGGAATTCATTAATTTTGGCAGCTAAGCTGTGCTAAACTTTGAACGTAGTCCTTATTTTGTTCTTAGTCCTTCCTGAGACTCATGGAAGCCATGTAATTTCTCTTGAGAGCCTAGCCACCCCCAACAGAAAATGTTTCTGAAATTCTCTTTGAAGAATCAAGAGACTTAACATTATATGAAGAAAGGGAGAAAGTGAGGAGAATGTTGTCAAGAAGGTAGAGGCAGGATCAGAGTTTAAGCAGTTGCTCTTGCCTTTTGGAGCCCTGTGTAATAGAGACTATGGCATTACAGTGAGATAGAACAGGGAGCAGAAATCAGTCATTCTGGGGATGGAGCTGGAAGCACTCCCCACTGCCTCAGCTCTCTATATTCCATGCGTCCATTTGTATTTTAAGACTCAGCTCAATGCCAACAGTTACATGACATTTTCCCAGAGATCTTTACCTCATTGCCACCTTCCTGTCTGAAATCACATGTACTCTCGAATCAGTTTCTGATGACGATGATTATGGTCACCATTGCCATCATTTTCTTCACTCCTAGTTTCTTATGAGTAGGGTCATCATATTTTTCATACTGCCATCATTACTGAACCTAGCAGACAACTGGTACATATCAGATGCTCAAGAAACTGCTTTCTCAAATAATCAGCTTCACAGTATGTAATATGTAGAAATACATACAAAATCTTCCCACAGAAGAAGTCCAGACCCAGGGTTTACAATCATGCAGCAGTCTCCATCATGACTCTAACCAAACACTTGGCTGGTGGAGCCTTTCACTCTTTTACCTAATAAGCAGATAGGGGAACACCAATCTCTGCCTTTTATGGTGGATGTTATATTGCATATGTATTTGTGCATTGAGGACGGGCATAGCACATAGAAAGAAAATCAGACTCAGGAGCCCTGGAGCTCTGTGTCTCAGAATAAGGGAACCAAGAGAGAATGAGAAAGGGACTAGCAAGAGGCTATTACCGGAAAAAAAAAAAAAAAAAAAAAAAAGCCTGGATAAGTTTTATAAGTTTTATAAGTCACTGCCAGTTGCTTCTGTGCTTTGCTTCAAAGGAGCCTTTCCAATATCAGAAAGCACTTGCAAGCCATAATGAACTCCAGGTTATATACTTTG